GCTGCTGCTTTTGCTGCCTCCCACGCCTTGCTACAGAGCTATTCTCTGCCGCCGCCTCTCCCCCACCCCGCGTGCTGTTTAAAGCCATGCAAATTTCCCCAAAACCACATTTTGGCGGCATCCGACACGTGGCGTTTTGCTGGGTGAAGGTAGTTGATGCACTCCCCAACCCCCAATCTTTGAGCCTTTCGAGGGTTGGAGACAGCGCAGCCTCCCAGCAACTGGGGTGCTGTTCTATCCACTGGTGAAACCTCTATGCCCTCCGTGGCCCTGGGAGCCCTGAACCTGTTTGCCTGTGTGTGTCTGGAGAGGTCCTCGGGTCTCATGCGTTGGCCCAGTTGCACCCATTATTTGACCTTATGCATTGGCTGAAGTATTCATGTTTAGTGGTTAAGCTGGGAGATGACTTGCATGTCTTGCAATATTTTTTTAATTTTGGTCTTAATGACACAAAGTGCTATTGAAGGGTAAATCTTTCCTGCTGGAAGCTTTGGGCAGAAGTCTGTTATTCCCCCCACTCCCAAGAAGAGTTTGGGCTGTTCTTTCTCTCCCCCCCCCAAGTGTCAAGGTCCACACTACCACAATTCACCAGTTCATCAAGGAATATTGTTTTTGTAGGTGGCTGGATTATTTGTTGAACTTTAGTTTGCATAGTACTTTGCTGATTACCTCTCTGCTACCACTTACGATATTTCATTTTTTAATCACAGGTTTGCCGAAGACTGGGGATTATAGAAGTTGATTACTTTGGACTCCAGTTCACAGGTAGCAAAGGAGAGAATTTATGGTTGAATTTACGAAACAGAATATCCCAGCAGATGGATGGCCTTCCTCCTTACAGATTGAAACTGCGGGTCAAGTTCTTTGTGGAGCCTCATCTCATCTTGCAAGAACAAACAAGGTAAAAAGAAACACTGTCAGTTAAAAAAAATCATATGTGTAGAATTGCAGAGATATACAGCCACTCAGTATAACTTTAGTTTTGACTTTCAGTATGCCTCTCAATTTGAATTTTAAGTACCAATCTTACTGTAAAATATTTCTTATGGAAAACAAAAAGTACTTTAAAGATTAATATTAATGTAAGACGATCTGCCAGTGACTTCTAATTATAGAAGCCTTTCTACAAGTGAAGTGAAAGAAATGGAAAAGTAGTGACTCCTGTGTTCGATAGTAACCTCTTAGCAGTGTTACTGCAGGTCATTTAAAAGTGTTTATAACAGGAAACTGTTCCTCAGTGTTTTGACTCACAGAGCTGCTCCTTTTAAATTGGCATCATATTACAGTTATGTTTCAGTCAGAGGCCTTATTTCAAACCACAAAAAGAAGCTGTTTTTCCCTTCAGAAATACATAAACACAGTAGGTATCCTAATCCTAAACTTGAATTCAAGTAGCCACATACTTGTACTCAACTGGTGAAAGTTAAATTTATAAAACACACTTGGAAGACTCCATATTTCTTCAGTGCAGTGGCTGTTTAGATAGTTTTTGTGGGAATATGTCACAAAGGCTATAAAATGATTGTTTTGTAGTAAAATATAGTGGGAGGAATGAAAAAGAAAACGTTTGCACATTTCCAGATTACAGTTGGTTGATGGTTTTTAGATAATGTGTTATTTGAAAGTATATGCACTCCATTAATACTGTGTGCTTAGTGTTTTTATTCACGGACTGAATAATTTTTCAGGCAAATAGCTGGGAAGACTCCGAATATTTTTTGTCCTGTACCATTTGTATTGCAAATACATCCATGCTTTTTTTTCCAACAGTAGTTACTGTAAAAATTGTGCTTTTTTTTTCCAACAGTAGTTACTGTAAAAACTCCTTTCATACACGCTTATAAATTTTTGCTTACAATTTTTTTTAAATAATGCTACCCTGTACAGTAGATAGAACTTGGGGAAATACATTTCACTGCTTTTGCAGTTATATTGAGGAGTGCAAATTAAGTATTTTGGTGACTAGGACTTTTAAATCTCTTTCCACCAGCATGGAATATGCAGATTTTTGGTCAGTAATTCATTGACCTTGTGGACTGCTTTGAATGCTAGTCCTTTAGAATGAGCTACAAGTAAGCATACATTTCATTTGATTGGATGTTTGTTTGTTTTACACTAAAGAGAATATTCAGATCTCTTCCCTTACACATTTAGTATTATTGAAATGTCAAGGCAGACATTTTTGACCACACAGAATGGATTATATCCGTTGCAATTGTGTAATATGATAATTTATCTATAGAAGCAAATGTATAGATATGTCGTAGCACTTGTACTTTTCCCATTGTGTGAAAATGTGCTGTAAAGAGAAGCGGTTTGTGTGAGTGTGTATTATGAAGGGATTTATAGGCTTGGCGTGCTAATAAATTGTTTGATGTATATTCCAAGAAGTCAAATGTCAACCTTTCGATTTCCAACTGTGGATTATATTAGATTGTTAAAATGTGTAGGGGGCTGTTTTGATTTGTCTTGGACATACTATTTGATTGGAATATCATATTAAACATGGCAATTTTCATTCTTAGTCTGCTGTTTAACTGAAGCAAAATGTTGAATAAAAAGTTTTTCAGATGTTGGTTGCGAAGCTGAAATTTTAAGTGTAGATACACAGTTACAGTATTCAGGGCAGATTAATACTGTATTTTACTACTGGGAAAAAGTAAGAAAATTAAATAAACTACACAGTAAATGAAAATAAGCTCTTGTAATTTTGTGCCATTTCAAAAAGGGATAAGATTGTGGTGTGAAGGCAATGTCTTCTATAGAAATACAGTAGAGGAAATATTTGATTTTGTCTGAGGTCTTTCACTGGAAAGAATGTAGGACAGCTTATAGGACGTTCCTTATATCAGCTTTCAGGTAAAACCAAAAGTTTTTATTTAAGAAACCTACTTTCATAAATGCATTATATTAGGAACATGCAATCCAAAAACTTGTTCTGGGTGTCATTCTTTTTGAACTTGGGGAAAAATATCTGGTTCCAATGAAGGCTGTTTAGATTCTGCTTTAGAGAGGCAGTAACAATGTAACTGTAGGTCATTGACTGAAAGTAACCTCTGTTAATTGCTGCTAGGCTATTCTGACAAATCAGGGAGGAGTTTCTGGAGAAGTTCAACTCCTGATTGGTCTGCAACAGTTTGGCCTGAAGGCAGAAAAGTTCTGCCTTTGTGGTTTTGTGGCAGAAGCTCATTGTGAAGCAAGAAACAGGTTTCAGCATTTTTCTTCAGAGTTGCAATAGATTTTGTTGTTGAAAAAGTATGTTTCAGTGCTTACATTTTAACTAAGAGGCAGCAATAAATTCATATTTTTGAATTAAGTAACATCATGACTAGTTTTAACACTGAAGTAAAATACTTTCTAAATGAGAAGCAAATAGTTACTAATGTTATGCAAACCTTAGAAATTTTAATTTAATTTTATTATTTTAGTTGAAAATGTAAGTCAGAATTTTGGTCTGTGATGGGGCTACTTTCAGTTTCTGATTTGGCTTAATGTGACACTGTTTTTAAAATGCTGCATTCATTAGGAAGTTGCATACATTAATTATTTTTCATTTGCAATTTACAGTCCAAATATATGGGCATTGAACAAAGTGCAGTGTTCACTATGCTATAGAATCTAGTGTATGTTAAGAATCTGAAGCAGAGCTGAACAGCTAGTATAACCTTTCCCCTAATTAATCATCAATATGGAAGAAAGCCCAAGAATTTTGCTGTTTCTACCATGTCATATTATCACATAGTCATATAATATGACATGGTAGAAGCAGCAAGATTCTTGAGCAAAAAGAAATGTGATAATGCATTTAGATAGTATGTTCATTGTGTTCTGCACATAGCCCTTTGGGATCCTAATTCATGGATTTTGAATATATGTGTTGAATCCAGGCTAGAAATCAAATGCAGTTGAGCTAGTCATGACAAGTTTACATGCCATTCGTTTTCTTGAAACTTCTCTCAGCATAAGTGTCTAGATTCAACCCAGTGTTTTTTATTTCCCTAGGAAATAGGCAAAGGCTTAGTGATAGTGACGGAGGAGTTCTTTGTGCATAGTCTCTCCCCAGCCATACTCAGTGAGTTGTTGCTCACAAGACATGAATGACAAAAACTGTTAGACATTCCCAGATTGTTCATATGAGTGTTTTTGAAACGCCTTTATTAGTATGTTGTGTTTAATGCCAGGCTAAGTATGCAAGAATATGTCCAGTCTTTCACCTGATTCTCAGATATTAGGCACACAATAGATTCCTTTGCATTTAGGAAGGTTTTAATTAGTGCGGCTTAAATGTTTCCTGCCTGGTACAGGTTAAGTGGGGTACAAAGTTATGCAACAGGATTTTATCCAATGTCTCAAAATGAATTTGCCTTACACTCCATTTTAGAAGAGTTTGGTTTTGCACTTTATTTTCCCATTCTTTCAGATAGGGGTGTCAGAAAAACATTAGTCAGCAGGGAAATAACGTTATGTATCACATGGTTGGCAAGTTTTTAAAAGTCTGACTTCCTCCATTCATCCTTGCAAATTTCATTCTGTTTTAGGCATATGTTTTTCTTGCATATAGAGGAGGATCTTTTAGCTGGTAATCTTCAGTGTTCTCCTGAGCAGGCAATTGAACTCAGTGCATTGCTTGCCCAGTTGAAGTTTGGTGACTATAATCAAAACACTGCCAAATATCACTATGAAGAGTTCTGTGCAAAGGAGCTTACCACTGCCATCTGGGAGAGGTAAGTGTGTTTCTTTGTTAGAAATGGAATAGAACAGTTCAAATGCACATCACGAGCCAAATGATTCTTAATTGCAAATTGCACATTCTGTCTTTGGAGACATTATATTATTGTAACACATAGTATACATGCCATATTTTTCGCACCATAAGACGCACTTTTTCCACACAAAACAGGGGGGTGGAAAGTCTGTGCATCTTATGGAGCGAAGAAAACAGATTATATTTTCCTGTTTTCTTCTAAAAAAAATTGGTGCGTCTTATGGTCAGTGTATCATCTGCACAGGCGTACAGTGCTCATTTTTGATCAGTTTTACTGTCTAACAATTGTTTTCCACACATCCTCTGATGAGATCACTTTTACAGTTCAACAAATGAGCACATGGTATATCTCTGTTTTCTCAAAAGGAACCTAATATTTAATTAATCGTCATATCAGCAGTAGTTTAATTGATTAGGAAATGTTTTGAAACATCTGAATTGGCTATAGTAGCAAACTGGTGGTCTCAGGGTGTTTTGGATTACAATCCATAATCCTTTACCATTCACAATGCTTGTTGGCTGGAAGTTGTAGCCCAAAATATCTGAAAAGTATCCCACCACCACCTAAGCAATTCAGAAAATTTAAACTAGTTATATTTAAATTAAAGTTAGTGAACTGTACAATCTGTTTTTGAAAACTCTGAATTAATAAAATTTTAGAACTTGTTTTGAAAATCAATGTATGTCATCAAAATAAAGAACTCTGAAAAGGCTTAAAACATATTCAGAAGTTAAATGTTAAAAACCATCTCTTGCCACATTTTGAGTAATTAATCAAGTTCTTTTCTTACCCCTATATAGTATTACTGCAAAACATAAGGAGCTTGAAGGTCTCAGCCAAGCTTCAGGAGAGTATCAAGTTTTGCAGCTTGTGTCAGCTCTGGAAAACTATGGGGTAGAGTGGCATTCTGTTAGAGACAGTGAAGGGCAAAAACTTTTCATTGGTGTTGGTCCTGAGGGTATTGCCATATGTAAAGAAGACTTCATTCCTATCAACAGGTAAGCATTAGGAAGATCTTTCTGGAAAACATTGATATAACACCTCATAAAATGTTTATTATGACTAAACTGACTTTGAAACACTACAAATCATTTTTGCCCAAAAGCCATTGCTGAATTTCATAGCTGAGCAATGAATGGCCATTTTTTAAAAAAACTTGAGAATCAGATTTTCAGAAACCTCAAAAAAGAGAGACTGAATGTCGGCAGTGTGTGAGGCCAGATCCCACAGTAGATAGGTCACATGCTCTTACACATATTCTTTTACTCTCGCACACTGTCCAGTCCAGTCTTTCTCTGAGACATTGACTCGCTCTACTCAGACACCTGTGTCTGCTGTATCTATGCAGATTGGATAAAAAGTTCCATATTCTTTGTCCAATGTGCTATGAAGGAACGAAGAAACCTCAGGTTTCTCATTTCTAGTTGTGTCATTAAATTTGCTGCATAAACATAGGTTAGACACAAGTTAAGCGGTTTGTGTGGGTAGGCAAATACACATGCTGGACATACTCTACTTGAGAACTGCGTATAGGAGTGAATGAAACACTGCTTTACTGGTATTCAAAACCCAAAGCCTAATACCGGTTTTATTCGCTAACATTACTGAAATGTTCTAATATTCAATTTGCACTGTTGAAAGGTACTTTTTAAAACTACTAATCACAAAGCTGATTTATAGCAATATTACCATTAATAGAGTGTCATTAATATCTTATAATCTTGTGAAAGCGAAGTGGACAGGACGAGAGCAATGTGCACTGCTTTATGCTCATTAGTAGAGATGGGCGGGAACTGCAGTTTGGTTCAGTGTATCATCTGCACAGGCGTTCTGTGGGAACTTCACACTTTCTCCACCTCTAGGTGATTGCCCACTCACTGGCAGCAGTGCACTTCCCTTCTATGCTGCCTCCAGCAGCTTCCCACTCAAATGAGGTGGAGCAGGGAAGCATGCAACGTCCATGGAACACCTGTGCAAGCGCCAGGACCAACCACAGTTTCTGTCCATAAGAGCTATGAATGTGACTATGTTTACAAATAGTGGCCAGAATACTATTGCTGATTTACGTTTAAGGGAAATTGTGTAAGTCACCGATGTTTGGGGCCATACCCAGGAATGCAGCCAGCCACTCATTGAGTGGAAGTTGCCAGTAATAGTTACAGTTTCCTTTGTGCAAGCATAAATCAGCAATAAAATTCTGGCCACTATTTAGTTATTCACCAAAGCATTGTTCCCTCTAATTTTCAGCGTGGTGGGCAGGGCTCTCCCCCTTGCACGTGTGACCCCCTGCATGGGGTTCCATCACAACCAGAACCAAAGGGGCTGGGAAGGATCGTTGTGGGTGCTTGGGAGAGGGTGGCAGAGTGACAGGTGCTTGTAACTGAACAACTTCAAGGGAACATTGTACCAAAGCATTTTAGGCTAGCAGTGAATTGTTTTAATATTTCTGCTTTCCCTTCAGGATTGCATATCCAGTAGTACAAATGGCAACACAGTCTGGAAAGAATGTGTACTTGACTGTCACTAAGGAATCTGGCAATAGTATAGTTCACCTTTTCAAGATGATCAGCACTAGAGCAGCTAGTGGACTTTACAGAGCAATAACAGAAACACATGCATTTTACAGGTTTGTATTTCTGCAGTGAAAATTTACACTTAATATGTAAATTTATAGATGTATACTAAATGTTAGCACTAAACATTTATCCAACAATTACATTTAGACATTTGTCCAACAATGAGAGTATTCAAAACATAAGAACATAAAAAGAGCCCTGGATTAGGCCAAGGACCCATCTAGTCCAGCTTCCTGTATCTCACAGTGGCCCCACCAGATGTCTCTGGGAGCACATGAGACAACTAGATACCTGTCTCTTATAATACCCCTCCCATGCATCTGCCATTTTTGAAGTACCTTCCTTTGAAGCCTTGAGATTATACATCCCCATCATGCCTTGTAACCTGTGACTTTTCCTCCAGAAATCTATCCAATCATCTTTTAAAGGCATCTAGGCCAGATGCTATCACCACATCATGTGGCATGGAGTTCCACAGACTAACAACATGCCGAGTCAAGAAATGCTTTCTTTTGTCTGTCCAAACTCTCCCAACACTCAATTGGAGTGGATGTCCCCTGCTTCTGATATTGTGCGAGAGGGAAAACAGCTTCCCTCCATCCACTATATCTATCCCCTGCATAATTTTATACGCCTCAATCATGTCCCCTACTCAGCCGCCTTTTCTCTAGACTAATGAGCCCCGAACGCTGTAGCTTTTCCTCATAAGGGAGGTGCCCCAGCCCAGTCATCATTTTAGTCACTGTCCTGTGCACCTTTTCCAGTTATACTATGTCATTTTTAAGGTACTCTATGCCAAGAGTACCATTTGATTTTCATATGTTTTTATTCCAGTTGTAGTGCTGAAATTGTATGCATAAATTTGACCAAGTTTTTAATCTTTATGCAGTTGATTTAAATTTACTTATTTGTTTGTTTTCTTGGTAGGTGTGACACTGTTACAAGCGCTGTCATGATGCAGTATAGTCGAGACTTAAAAGGCCACTTAGCATCTTTGTTCCTGAATGAAAATATTAATCTTGGCAAAAAGTATGTGTTTGATATTAAGCGGACATCAAAGGAAGCTTATGATCATGCAAGACGGGCCCTTTACAATGCTGGCATTGTGGACCTAGTTTCAAGAAGTGACCATAGCCCACCTAGCTCTCCCCTTAAGTCTTCAGAAAGCAGTCTGAACTGTGACAGCTGTGAAGGTCTTAGTTGCCAGCAGACGAAAGCTCTTCAGGAAAAGTTACGGAAGCTTAAAGAATCTTTGCTATGTATGGTGTGCTGTGAAGAAGAAATTAATTCTACATTTTGTCCATGTGGTCACACTGTGTGCTGTGAGTCATGTGCTGCACAGTTACAGGTAACTATAAAACCCTTTACAACAAGATGACATCACAGATTGAGTTACTACTTTTCAAAATAGGTTGGGAGTTCTTCAAAGCTTTTAAACCAGTTTGATTTTATCACAAAAATAAAATCACACTAAAGCATGGATGAACAACTGCAGGTCTTGGTAGCAGGTTTTACCTCTTGCAGCCTGCTATATGTTGCTCACATGCTCTGTTGCATTGCTGGATTTCAGTGTGTCAGAATTCTTGACTTTCCCTTTTGCAATAAGGAGGACTACAGGCATGGGCCTTTCTTTAAGTTGGGATCATGCTTTCTAGAACATGTATGTCCCCCATTCCTCCTTCTTAAGGTAAATGCAGCAAAGTTTATTGGTTGTGGCAAAGGGGGAATGGATGAATGGAGGTTGGGGGGATGCCATATATTGTCAGAATAATAGCTTTGTTTAGCCAAGCACCCTTTTTGGATATTCTGGAGGATGGACTTTTGTAGTAGTTAAATGTTTTAGAATGAAACGTAGTGGCACAAAAAAGTGAATTGCAGAAAAATATTGTAAGCTTAACATTATTTGGAACCTCACATTTTCTTGGATTCATTTATTCCAAGTCAGTTTCATATTTATGAAATCCTGAAATTTTTTTAAGTGTTATCCAAATATAGGGTTACACTGTTTGCATAGAGATCATAGGATCTCTACCATAGATTCTGGACAATAATCAGTGAAAGCATTTATTTTCTACTTACAATAATATTGTTATAAATCTGCTTTATGACTAGCAGTTTAAAAAGGAAGTATCTTTAAATAGTGCAAGTTGAATATTAGAACCTTTCAGCTATGTCAGCTAATAAAACTGGTATTAAGTCTTGCATTCTTAATACCAATACAGCTGTGTTCCAACTTCTTTATTTTGTTTGTTTTTTCTCTTCTAGTCATGTCCTGTATGCAGGTCTCAAGTAGAGCATGTCCAGCATGTGTATTTGCCTACCCACACAAGTCTGCTTAACTTGGCTGTAATATGACCTCAGTATTAAATGCTAGAAGATGCACACCGTACAAAGCTTCTGAACAATTTTGTACTTCCAAATACTGCACTACTGTTCACTCCAACTCCAGTGATGCTGAAGGGGAGCAGCCACTTCTCCATCTGCCAGCAATTAGAAAGGCCAGTAGAAAACTGGGGCTGGGGGTGGGAGGATAATGGAAAATAATTCTCTGTTCAGAGTGTTCGCAAATATGTCTAAGGGGATATACTGTGAATTTCTCGTAGGCAACCTCATGGCACCTGAAACAACAGCATTTATAAAATGGCAATATTATGAGAGAACAGAGTTGGAAAGTTACTCTGTAGTATCCAGCAGGGGCAACATAGCTTGTTTTATGCATTTTATAAATAATTTTATTTAGTTATATATTTAGCATGAGAATCACTCCATTTCTCTTTTAGCAAAGCTAGTTTTTAATCTCTACGTTTGTTGTAGTATAATTTAGTTTTCTGCTTCTAGTCTCACTGAAGTAAGAAACTATTTTTAAACTGGTATACTTAAGAACCTAAGATTTACAAAGCTTTAAGAAGAGAGCTGCATTTGTTTCAGTAAAAGCAGATCAGATTAATTTTGAAATTATGTTCAATGTTTGAGTAAATTTGACAGGCTGTTTAGAAACCACCCTTGAGACAAGGTTGAAAGGCATTTAAAAAGGAAATCTTTAAACATCAGTAAAAATATTTTTCTCTTCCAAAAGTCAATACTTGTCTCCGTTCATCTGCCTTGTGTTTGGAGAAAGTTAAATCTCAAACAATGTAATAAGTGTGACTTTCTGAAATGCAGTTGTGTTATATTATTTCTAAAAACCGTCTTACCTTCTACCACAAACCCTATCCTTGGGCATTTCTTGGACTTTGGTCAACTAGTGAATGCTCCAGAATATTGAAACTAGGTGACCATGTTTGGGTGCAATACTAGCTAAAATGAAAGCTAGAAAAGACACTTTACTGAGACTTTCTGAATATACTTTTTGTATTGCCTTAATGTAGCAGTAATGTGTGTATGCATTTGTTTCTTTGCACAGACATTTTGTCAAAATATTAAAACTCTACTTTTTTATGGCACATTAGCATATAAACCTTACTCCAGAAGGTATTTATTTTTTCACTTTGTAAAATTTTGTTTCCACATGAAGCCAGAACTCCTATATGGTAGACCTGTCTTTTTATATATATATATTCAGATTAATAAAGGACTTTTAAAATATAATTTGCCTGCACTCTTTTTTTAAAAAAAAAAAAACTTAATATTGCAGCGTCTTCCTCTTTGGATGATGAAAAGATGTTTGGTACTAGGGGGATGAAGAGATGTTGCAGCTATATAGATCTCTGGAAAAGGGGTGGGAGTGAGGACAGATGTGACATCACAAAGTGGATTGTATAATGAAGATGTAATTAAAACGTAATATGAAAGTTTTGTTGACAATCTTGCTGGATTGTAAGGTGGGACAGATAAAATCAGATAAGCTGCTGGGGAATTTGCTTCATTATGAGTCACTATGGTTTAATTAGCCTTTGTGGATAGAAAACTTGAAATTTGGAATAATAAAATACTTAAGGTGCTTACAAGGAAAAATGAATTGAAGCATTGGTAACTATAGCCAGCAAGGAGATAGGCATGGAGGTTTTTGAGTGGTAAACACCTGTGCTTGTCATTTGGCGACTTGAGTGGTCTTGTATGGAGCTCCCTAGCACTTGGGTATTAACATTTACAATGTGTTCAGTTTGTACTCCTTTGTGCCCCCTGTATCCTCCTCTTGGAGGCTGGAACAAATTTCTCTAGCAAAGAAGAGCACTGAACATGGATGGCTAACCTTACCCCATTACGCGCAACATCACTGATCCAGATTTTGCATCAGGAAAGAAGTTGAAGAATGCCTATATGGTTGGCAATCAAATACAACCCCAATTTTAATGGGTCAGAGACTGCAAATAATGATTGATTGAAGTACAACCCCTCTTTGTTCTCCAAACCTGTCTCCACCTTTTTTTGTCTTCAAACATTCTTCAGCAGCCTGTCTAGTACCCAATCAAATGACATCTTGGACACCTGCCCACTTGCATTCTAACACTTAGATTGTTTTTCATCCAAAAACAAACCATTGCATGTTGCCATTCCTTCTACTGGTGCCATCGGGCCCATCAATCCACCTGCAGCACCCACACGCATGACATCTTTTGACTTTTGCCCACTACATGCCACAAGAATTCTGCCACCAGAATCACTAGTTCTAATACTTCATTGATTTCTCCGGCAGTGAAACCAGCATACACTGGCCATTCTTCATTTTTTGCTAATACCACCTGGCCCAGGACCCTGGCTGCAGCAAGCAAACCTGTGATGTGGCTCTGGCTTACACTTCCTGATTTTGGTCCTAAATCTTTTCCAAGGTACGCTCCCTTTACATACACGCGCCGTCTTCTACATTAAGCACTCTGCTTTCCATCCAAAGATTACCCACCTGAACTGCTTTCATATTGGCAGGTGGGGAAACACGTAGGTATTGAGCCAGGAACACGGACTTCTGGTGGAGGAATGTTGACACTGAAGCTGTGGTGCTGTTATAAGCATGGTTATCTCTGGGCTGTTTGTGGCTTACTGTGGATGCCTGGGAGAAGAAATGGGGGGTTGAACCAGGAAGAAAGTGGCATTTGGGAATCTTGCCAGATTAACTGCATGCTGATTTTTGCTACATGGCCCTGCCAGCTCTAATGCATCATTAACAATGGCTTCTCTTGCCAATGAGACTGGTGCATATTGGCCATTCCTCATTTCCTGCTAACACCACCTAGACCATCACCCCGGCTGCAGCACATACGGCAGTAGCATGACTGGCTTACCTCCCCACTCCCTGCCTTTTGAAATAGTCCTCACTGCACTGCTCTCCAACAGTACCAACATCCTCTTCTAAGAGGGCTTGCATTCTGCTTGATTCTGGTTTTGCCAACCTAAAGTTTTCTGTACCTATTATCCCCTTAGTGGGTGCCTTTAACAGGCTCAGTGCTGCTCTTCCACCTTCTACCCCCCACACACACACTGCTTCTCTAGTATGTAGGCCTTGCTACAAATGAGAAAATGAATGTGCAACCATTTTTGTTTATGCATATTTGTAACTAATACACAACACAAATGAAACACACCAATTAGCATGTCGTAATGCTACAAAGATGAAACAAAGGACTAACAGCACCAGTGCAGGCTACATTACACTCCCTTTTCAGAGGAGGTTGGGTTGGGAAACATCAGGCACTGGTTCGGCTGATAAACGAACTGCCAAACCAGTGGTTTATGCCCATCTCTAGTTGAAAATCCAGTGGCTAAGGATAATGTTTTCATTTCATTTACTAGAGAGATGTGTATATGTTTTAACATATACCCTTACATGTCTGAAGAAGTAGATTCTGATCCATGTAAACTGCAATAATATTTTGTACTTGTCCCCTCAATTTTACCATTTAATTTTGCTGATATAACACAAGTGTTTTGTAGAACACTGAGGGCTAACAAACCTACGGCATGAGATTTTGAAGTCTAGAGTGTACTTCTTCATCAAATGCATTAAATGGTTATATGAACTTGTATGTGTATTTGGAGAATGAGTATGTTGTTGGGCCTGATTAGAGCTCCAGACAACCATCTCTTCCCTACTACAGATACATACGCATGATCCATAGCAGCATGAATTGTAAACAATATTAGAGATAAGTGAAGCACAGAAAGCAGAGAAAATACTTACCTTATTAACACAAGAAATTGAAAAGTGGCTGTGCTGTTCCATAAGGGTAAAGTCCATGAGAAAATACCATAGGTTAGCACATGGACAATATCTTCATTCCCAAAATGCCACAAAAGCTTTTCTGTTTTTCCTTAGGGTCAGCAGTTCAAAATGCAGGAAAGGGAGAAGAAACACATTTTCAAAAATTATGCTAGATGCTGTAAAGTGATTTATTACCATTCTTTCAGGGTAGGGGACTCACAGTACAGCTTACCCAAGGCTGTGGAGGCTTGCCTTTCTCAGGAGGCATAGTACAAAATCAAATTCCTGACCTCTGGCTCTGCAGCCTGGTTCCAGTTTTAGGTTTTTGAAAGTCATAGAAAGTTTTGAAAAAATATAAATAACTAGGGTTTAAAAGATGCAGAACTTATTTTCCTTTCTTTTGCTTATTTATGGCATTTTTATCTTCTTAATACTGAATAAGCTCCAGTTTGGATGTCTTTTTATACCATTAGCACCTATCAGCCTTTATTTTTTATATACAGCCTTCCACAATTAAAGTGTTGCCCGCCCTGACCTGAAGAAATCATAGCTGGTGACAGTTCAGGAAGCATGAGGCTTGCATAGTCAGCACCCAGCTATTCCATACCACAGGACATTGACTAACCTGGACTGATGCAGTCTCCTTTCCTTGCCATCTGTAGGTCTAAGTTGCTGTTAAGTCTGTTCTGATCTATCCACTTAGTAGTGGATAGACAGGATATATTCCCAATTAGTTCTCCTTGCCCACATTCCATGTTGTCGAAAACTTTTGCCTCTGTTTCTTGTTAGACTATGCAGAGTCCAATACAGATGAGGAATGGAAATCTTTGAAATTATGCTGTGGCAATAGGCTCTCTGCATCTGGCAAACAAACAGAAGGACTTGAGGATGGAGCACAAATGAGTCACGTACCTCTTTTCTCTACTTTCAGTGTCTCATGCCAAAACAGAATTGGCACATGACCGTGATGGAGAGATGGGGCACTCTGAGTACAAGTATAGCTTGTGGGTCTCCCTCTGGGAAAGATTCAAGTTCCACATTTCTGCAAAAGGCAATGTGTGGAGAAGCGATACTTTTGCAAAGTGGTAGCCAGAAAGCATCCCTCAAATGGAGCAGTAGATTAAATTGTTCTTGAAGGCATTTTTTTTAATTCAGCACTTCAGATAATTATTTTTCTCTCTAGGTCCGTTTCTCATTTGTTACTTGTGACTCATAGCATATGTAACATCTGGTGGCAGAGTTGACCACAGGCATGTCATTCTCTCTGTTCACTGTCCAAGATGTTTTATTCTTAAACTCAAATTGTCTGAAATCCATGCAGTTAAATAGGTAGTAAAGGGCAATAACAGAGCTTCTAAATGCAGTGAAGCGCCTACGTCGATGTTATTTACCAACATGTTGCCAAATTTCTGTATCTGTGATAATTAAGTAGCACAAACCCAGACAAAAGACAGCAGCAGCCTGAAGTTCTGGCCCTGTTGCTTTGCACACAGAGATTCAAAGGTTGTCTTCAGACTGCAGAACCACAACTCATGGGACGCAAATAATAGAACCAGGTACATAAACTGTATCATAGAAAAGGGTGTTGGATCTTCTTTTCCCACCAAGGACTGGGAGGGAGAGCCAGACTTAATACACAATGATCTGTATGGGCCACTTAATGTGCCATTAATAGGGCACAACACATGCAATAAATTTTAATAACCATGGATGACTTCTCAAGGTACTATCTATTTAAGGAGAAGAGTGAGATATATGAGATGGTTAAATACATAGCCATGGTGAGCTATAAGTCTGAAAGAAACCCAAGAAGGAAGGGAGGGAGGAAGGAAGGAAGGAAGGCAGAAGGTACACCATCTTAACAAAGAAGTAGAAATAATGGAGGCAGGGGATCGAACACACTATAACAGCCATTCAATGGGATTTTCAGAAAGGCAAAGAGGAGAGTGAACCTCTGCCAAACAATAGCATGTGACTATATGATAAAGCTTTTCAAACTTGAAGAAAACCTGTTTTGATCTCCTTACTGATCACTGACTCAACCCGAAGACTTTTGTATATGTGTTCTGCATTTAATATCTGTTTAAGAAGTGATGTAGGAAACCTACTGTGAAGGAGAGAAAGGGAGTGAGAATAAGAAAACATTTGTGCCTAACAGCCACTGGAAGACGTGATAGAGCAACTGGTGCAGAAATACTAAGCAGAAAAATTTAAGTTAGTAACATGGGGTAACTGGACAGCTATAAAAAAAAAGTAGCTGGATATTTGAAAAGAGTTATAAACTTTAGGCTAAGACTGCTAGCTAGCAGCAAGCCAAAGCTTGTAGGGTACACAGATGCAGACTGGACAGAGAACAGCACAGAATATAAATCCACCAGTGGGTTCCTGTTGATGATATCAAGAGTGGCCTTTTAGGCCAGATGGGCGGGAAATAAATAAATAAATAAATAAATAAATAAATAAATAAATAAATAAATAAATAAATAAATAAATAAATAAATAAATAAATAAATAAAT